GAGCGAGCACTGGGGAAATCATTTTGCTTAAGCAGCAGTAGTGTTAAATCTAAAACCTTGTTGCAAATTGACCCTATACCTGATGAAGACCATCTTGCATTCTGAAGCCTGTCTAACTATCCCAGCTACACAGATGGTCCAATAAAATATAAAATCACCCAAAGAAATCCTTGCCTCAATTTTTGTACTGCCATAACTATATCACTCTTATACAATCCAACATCAACTTGTTCATGCCAATTTACAGGCCCCCCCATCCCTTCCAATAAGGATTTATTTACACTTGAAAATGTTTTTGAATATTATTACTGTGCAATTCCCTGTGTGGTCATGCACTTATGCAGGACATGATCTTTATTCCAGATTAGCTATTTTTGTCAATCTCAGATATGCATGCAGGTTCTCCAGCACCATCTGACTTTTGCTTAAGAACCCAATATTTGTTGCTCTGAATGAAGATAGCCTCTGACTCCATTTGAATTATTTTAGTACAGAGCAACACTTCTGCCCCCCACCCCCTTTAGTCTCTTTCTCCATCTCCCACTGGATTGGTGGTGCCTCCTGGAAGCAAAAGCCTGACATCTGCTGGACTGAACATCTGTGCTACCCTCTGCCTTCAGACTCTACAGTCCCTCACATGCTTATAAAACCCAGCTCTTTGAATATGTCCTTTGTTTTAAAAACATCTGAGTGACTTTACTGCTCATAAAAATGAGGGATCCATGTTGCAGCATGAGCAGCTGCTGTGCAGACTTCTCCATACAGCTCAGATGCAAACCTACAAGTGGATTTGGGGAAAGAAATTTTGTACATCAGAAAAAGATGGGAAGGAGAAGACTGCTTTTCTTTTTAAAAAGATACCATTTTATGAAGATGCTTTAAAGAAACAAAAGCAGGCTTGCAAAACACTGGTGCAGGGGATGTCATGCTCTCCTCATACTGAGCTTAGAAGAAGCTCACCTCCTTTGTAAGATTGTATTTATTATTCATAGTGTTATGAGCAGACACTGTATGGAGAGATAAGGGCCTTGGACCCAGTGACTAATTCCAGCTCCGGTTAAACAATGGGCTGTCTTTAGCGAAATGATTCATGCCCACAAAGTTAAGCATGTATATAAACATGTTTAAAAGGCTACACTAGACAAACCCTAATGACAGACTGTGGTGATCAGACACTGATAACTGGTTGCTGCTTCTGCAAATGTAAAGCCTTCCCCCCCCCCCCAGACTTAATATGAAAACAACTTAGTGCTGTAATACAAAAGTGATTCCTAGGAAACAGGAACAGACCCAGCAACAGAAAGTACTTGGTCTAAAAGGTCTGAAGCAACTAATGAAAATTAATGAGGAGTATCCAGGTAGTCAAACAAAAATGTCAAAGTCATCCTCAGCCTGAAGTGGTGCATCAGGGTAGTATGCGTAAGGCATCCTAGTGTCTGCAGCCAATAGCACACAAGGGCTAGCATAATGTCATGTCTAGTTGCCTTTGACTTTCCAGCCTGAATGACCAGGTACCCATTTACAACTGTACTGTAAAAATACCACAGATAATGGTCTAGTAAAAAAATTAATACTTTATACCTAAAACTAAATAAAAATATCTATGCTAATATTATATGAACAATTCCAAATCTGGGTTAAGGAGGAATAGGATATATATTCCCATAACATTCCTATGAGTAGACAAAAACTAGGTGGTTTGGCTAGGGATGTAGGGGACTTGGACTCAGTCATGCTCTGCCTGTTTGAGAGTGAAAAAACACTGACTCAGTGGTTCCACATTCCCAGCCAAACCAAAAGCCTACAGCATGTGATGCTGACACAACCCTCCCCTAATATTGCTCCATTCTGGCAAAAGCCACAGAATTTTATTTTTAATTAAATTTGAAGGTAAAAAACAAAACAAAAATTCAGAAGTCAAAGTTGCTGAGACAGGATCATCTCCCAGCAAGTGCTAGTAAAAAAGTCTTTGCAACTTAAAACACACACGAAGGTAAGAACATTTTATGGTTGGGTTTCTATGCACTATACTCCTTAAAAAAGGCATTTAGTGCCACACAAGCTATATTTTTCCTTGCTAACTAAAGAATTCAAGGCAACAATTCTAGTTAAGATGTTGATAATACAAGACCTGTTTACAAAATCTGACCAATTCCCTGTTGCCCAACATAAAAGAAAACCCTTTAACACAAAATGAAGTTAAAATTTTGCAGAGTATTTTTATTAACATTAAATTTGAAATTCAAATGTGAAACTTTTACTTGTTTCTGATTTTGGCCAACTTTCTTTTTAGAGTTTTGACTTGGTAGGGTTTTCTTTTGGTCAAACACAGTCTGATGCATCTGTTCCCTCTAAATGTAAAGAGAGAACTCCCACAACATGACTGATGTAAGCCCTATAGTTTAAGTGTTGAGAGAAAAATGCCTGCACAAAATTTCAAGTCTTCCTTTTCCTTCAATAGGGCACTTAGGTTGAATCAATGACTATAACAGTGCTTCTGCAACAGAATACTACAGGTTCTGCTACAGACTCACTGCTCAGCCTTGGTTATGTCACTTAAGTGCTTTGTCTCCCCCTTTCTTCTTTCCTTCCCCAGCCTTTAATGTTGGGTTAGCCCCACTTACGCAGTCCTAGCTAAAACTAAAACTCCCTGTGGATGGGTCTGAAAGAAAAGCCAACAAAAAGCCGTCGCCTTACTCACAAGGACCCGTGCTTTTGGTGCCAGAAGTACAAGTGCTTATTACATGAGAAAAAAAAAAAAAAGGCAGTCAGTTCACTACTTCTAAACAGTCAGCAAGCTTATCCTTGCTGACCAACTACTAGAAGCTGAGCCACTTTAATACTGAAGACCTGCAAGAAGGAATGCAATATTTGTAAGGCAGCTTGAACATACAAAAAATGCAGCTTCTGTATACTGTTGAGAAAAAATGCAAAGAATTAGAGCAAACAGCAGCAACTGTGAGATGCAGTCTCTCTCAACACTGACAGAAGAGAACAAGAATTAATGCATCAGTGATTCTAGAAAAAGGATTTAGATCCTAAGAAAAGCTCTCCAGAAACAGTAGAGGGAGCTATCGTGCAATCCAACTTGGACAAACTCCTTGAAAACCAGGAACAGCAAGAAATCAATTTAAAGTGTACTCCTATAATTCCTACAAGGGTTTCTGGTTACAGCTGTGTTGGTCTAAGGAATACGCAGGCAAGGCTCTTAGAGCAGATGTGATATCTTATTAGACCAACCAAGTAGTTGGAAAAAAAGTTCTTAAGAAGTTTTCAGGTGTAGTCACCCTTTTTCAGGGACAGGGTGACTGCACCCAAAAGCTTGCCAAGAACTCCCCCCCCCCCCCCCCCCCCAACTACTCAGTTGGAGTAATAAAAGATATCACATCTACTCAAAGAACCTTACCTCACATGATCCAGTGATTCAGATCTTGCACTTTGGGGGAGGGGAGGGGGGACCCATCTTTTTGACAATACTATACAAGAGATTCCTGATAGTTAGAGGGTTACAGGGACAGTTTTCAAGTTAGAAAGAAGACAGATAAGGATCCAACTAGCATTTTAAGACACATTTCAC